CACTTATCTGCTCCAACAGCGCGCGTCCCTGGAACACCCCCTCCCGCCCACGGGCACCTCCGATTTACTTGGTCCCTTGGTGGCGCCCTGCTAAGGCTCCGGGTGAGGACCTGCTGGCCACGCAGGCCCCAAATGGTGGGCCCAGGGCCCCGCCCTTCCGCCCCCACGCTCCAGCCTGGGGGTGACCTCGGGCAGTCCTTCCTGCCTCCCGGCCCCTCTCCGGAGGTGCGGCCCCAGAGCCCGCCGCTCACCTTCTCCATGAGAGCCTCGACAGCCCGGCGGGTCAGCCAGCGGCAGCCGGCCGCAGCCCCCCGCACCACGTCTCCTCTCTGGCTCAGGGCGGCATACTCCTCCGGACTCAGGTACTCTGGGGGCGGCGGGGGGCTCACAGCTGCGCAGCTGGGGCCCCGCTGAGCACCCCACCCAGGACCCGCCAGCGCCGGAAGGTCCCCCACCCATGGCCCTGGATAAACCCGCCCGGCCCCGCACCGCCGACCGGGGCGGGAGCAGCGTGGACGGCAGACGGGCGAGGACGCACAGCCCTGCCCAGCCCTCGGCCACGCATGAGCTCCAGGCCTCACCGACACCTGCCCTCCGGCGCTTTGCCAGAATGGCCCTGCGAGGCGCGTGGCCCCAAACCCCAGCTCCCGCCAGAGCCTGTGTCCGCTGTCCCGGCTCCCAGAGGCAGGAGGGACCCAGCCCGCCCGGAGAGAGGGCACACGGGCGGGGGCGGGGCGGGGCCTGGGCAGTGGTGGGCGGGGCCTGGGCAGTGGTGGGCGGGGCCTGGGCAGTGGTGGGCGGGGCCCGGGCAGGGGCCGGCGGGGCCTGGGCGGGTGCCGCAGAAGGACCCAGTCTGCCCACCTGCAGGGCATTTCCTGAAGCCACGGAGGAGGCCCAGCCTCGCACTCAGGAGCCGCCCGGCCACTCCGGGCACGAAGAGCACAGGCCGCGGCCGGCTGGGCCTGTGGGGGTGCACCAGCGTGTAGGGCGCCAGGGTGAAGCGGCTCTCCGCCCAGAAGCGTGTGGTGGAGGGGCCTGTGGGGGTGGGGGACAGCGTGCATGGGCAGGGTGCCCACGGCAGCCCCCCACCCGCCGGGGCCCCCCACCCCACCTCCATGTCCATCTCGCCCCCACTCTGGGCCAGGCTGGCCACGGCCTGAACCGCCCACGGCCACGACGGGCCAGGCCAGGGCATGCTGCCGTCTGTGGAGGGGCAGCCAGAGGCCGTCTCAGTCAGGTGCCGTCTCGCAGACTGACCGCAGCACCCCAGTGGCCTGCCTGCGGGGCCCGCAGCCCCACAGCCCTCCAGGACTCACCTTCCACCCAGCTGGGGTCCCACTGGCCGCCCTCCAGGGGTGGGCACAGGGGCCCGGCCTCGGCACTGTCCGTGCTGACGATGCGGACCAGCTTCTGGGGTCCCCCGGGGCGCAGCTGGAGGAGGGAGGAGGGAGTTTCCCCGGCAGCACATCCCGGGCCCTCGGGCTGGGTCGCGGCGTGGACCGGAGGGGACAGGAGCCGTCCCCAGGCAGAGCCCCAGCAGCTGCCCATGGGGGGCTCGCACGGAACAGGGGAGCCGGCTCCCCACGGTCCGCTGGCCACCCCAGGCCAGGGCTGTCCCAGGCAGGGCACCCATCCACAGAACACACAGGTGCCCACCCAGGGCGAGGGGCGTGGGGACAGCAGCGTGCCAGTGCGCCCCAGGATTCGCGCTCGGTGAGGCTGGGTGGCCCCTAGGGCGTGGTGGGGTCACCCTGGGGGCAGCCCACCTTGTGGGGGCTGACACTCTGCTGGGCCAGGTCCTGGAGGAGGGCGATGAGCAGCTCCTGCGCCCTGGGCAGAGGGGACACTGGGCTGCCGGGTGACCGAGGTGCCCACCCGGCCTGGCGCCCCTCCCCACCGCCCCGAGCGAAGCCCCTCGCTGGCTTCTGCCACCCCTGGGCCTCCTACGACACCCCAAAGGCTTCCCTGGCAGCGCCCGGGGGGCCCAGGCTGGGGTGGCCCTTGGTGGCACGGACCAGGCGGTCAGGCCGGGCCCCTCCTGCGGCTGCGGCGGCCCCTCAGGAGCCCGGGGCGGAGGACACGGTCCCGAGTGCCCGAAGGCCCGGGGAGGCACCGGTGTGGACGAGCCAGGTGGTGCTGTCCAGACACACGAGGGGGTGAGGGACACCCAGTGGGCAGAGACCGGGGTCCTCGCACCCCAAGCCCAGGGCACCCCCAAGAGCGAGCCAGCCTCAGGGCTGCGCACACCCCGCTGGAAGCGGGGCCCTGGGGGCCCGGCCGCCTGCAGGCAGCGCCCCGGGGCACGGCGGGGCCACAGCTCACTGAGAGTAGGTGGGGATGGTGCCCCGCTCGGTGCCCTCGGTGCCGTAGGGGCCCAGGCGGCGGGCGTGCCAGCAGCGCCGGCCCTGGAAGGCCGTGTCCGTGACGTGGAGCACGTCGTCACAGCGCAGGGGCAGCGCGCCGGCCGCCCGCCCCTCCACGGCCAGGTTCGCCCGGATGTAGAAGGAGTCCCCCGAGGTCACCACTTTGGCCTCCAGGTCCTGGACCAGCCTCTTGTAGCCTGGCGGAGGAGGGCGCGACAGGGAGGCCGCTGCGCGGTGGGGACCGGGGCTGGGACCCCAGCACCTCGGGCCACGGTGACCCCACGGACGGGCGGCGGGGCTCCCCGGGGCGTCTGTGGCGGGCCCGGCCGGCCTACCCTCCGTGTTCATCTTCACCGACAAGCAGCAGAAGCCGCTCACCCGGCCGAGAAGGCCCAGCGCCTGCTCCAGGGTCGCGCCCTCCAGTGCCGCCTTGAACAGGGGCTCCGTGGCCTCACAGTCCACCTGCGGGCAGGTCGCCGGTCAGCCCTGCGCCACCCACACCGCCGCCGCCGAGGCCCAGGCCAGCCCCGCAGCCACACACCCGCGGCAGGTCTCTGTCACGGAGCATTCTGGATGGGGCTCTGGCCGCTGGGATGGCCGCTCTGCGCGGGGGGGCCGCCCCTCGGGGACAGCCCGGTGCTCAGCAGAGCCCTGGCCCCGCCCGGCCCCGCCCCGCTCTCAGGGCCCCACCCTGCCTGTTCCTTCTGGCCTGCTGGACACTGGGGAGGGGGTGTGTTTGTGCAACGAGGAAAAAGCCGAGTTTTCATGCTGAGCTGGCCCCGTTCAGAGCCAGAGCTGACCCCCACGACGTCGAGGGGCTCGGCTGTGGGCTGGCGGCTGAGACTCAGAGCCCAGCCGGGCAGCCGGGCAGCGGGGACCGGCGGTCACCTCGGGCCTTCCTGCCAGACCTATGAGCCCTCACCCTGGCCATCGGGACTGAGGAGCCGGGCCCCGGCTCCTGCCCAGGGCCTGCCCCCGCCCTCTGCAGCGGGGTGGGGTCCGCTCCACGGCCAGCCCGGGCTCGCTCCAGGGTCCGGGGCCTCGGGGGTGGCGGAGCCCTGAGACGCTCAGGGGAGTGCTTTGCTGTACGCCTGCCCACGCAGGGCCTGGGCCCGTCTGAGAGCACCCCTGGTGCTGCGGCCCCACGCCTGAGAACCCTGGGCTCAGCGAGTCACTCACCATCATGATCTGGGTGCCTGGCCGCAAGGCCATCTGGTCTGCCGCTGAGCCCGGGGTGACCCGCTGGATGAAGATGCCCGTGAGATTCCCCCCAATGACACTTATCTGCTCCAACAGCGCGCGTCCCTGGAAGGCCAGCGCCATGACCGGGCTCGAGCACCTGCGGGCCGGCCGGCGCCGCACCGGGATGCTGCTGTGGGCGGGAGGGGGCAGCTCGCCCGGCGCCCGGGGTAGCCCCGCACCCCCCACCAGAAGGGCCTGCGGTAGGAGGCAGGCCTCACCCTGTCCTGCCCTCCCAGTCCCGGCCCCGCCCCGCCAATGTTGGCCCCGCCCACCAGCCCAGGCCCCGCCCCGCCCAGCACACGCGTGCCGCTGGCTCACCTGGCGGATACCGCCAGGCCTCGGGGGGAAGGCTGCAGGCTGCTCTCCGCAGACTCAGGAAGGTCTAGGGGGAAACCGAGAGCTCGGACCCCAGGCCGGCCCGGGTCCCCCTCCTCCTGACGCGCTCCGCTCTCCTGCGCCACCTCCCAGCCCGCCTCAGCCCTGCCTGCGCCGGCCATGGCCAAGCCTGCCCAGCCCGGACCAGGTGCGGAGCAGGAGCGCGGAGGCCTGGCCGTGCCCGCCGGCCTTTGAACCAGCTGCCGACACCTCACAAGGTAGGGCTCCAGCGTCCGGGCCCTGCTTCCCTGAACAACCAGGTCCGTCGAAAGCCTGGGCTCGAACTGCCCACGGACCCGCATTTCTGCAGGGCAGCCACGGCGGGCCCTGCTGGCCCAGGCCAGGATGTACCCGCGCAGGTTAGCCCGGGTGTCCCCGGCTCACCACGTTCTAACGTGGCTGGTGAAGCGCGTGGGCGCCAGGCAGCGCAGTCCTGGAATCGAGGGTCGTGGGGCCCTGGCCGCTCAGGCTGAGCCCGCGACACTCCAGAAGGGCACGAAGCTGGGGGATAGGCGGTGCCCCGGCAGGAGGGAGAGGTGGGATGCAGGGGACCCTGCCCTGAGCTTGCTGTCTGCACTCCCGGGCTCTCTGGACCCTCACCCCCACCCCCTCCACCCTGCAGCGCGGGACGCGCGCCCCCTCGTGGCTGTGGGGTGAACTCCACCCAGGGCGCTGGGCACCGGTGGGCGGGGCTGGATCCCGAGTGCAGGTGAGGGGAGGAGGGGCTGCTTGGGGCTCCCCGCCTTGACGAGAAAGGCCCCATCCAGGCACAGATAAGAAGAAGCCACAGGAGAAAGGGGGAGGCCAGGCGCCTCCTGATGTCACCCGCAGGCCTAAGTGCCCACAGCTGGGGCAGGAAGGGACGGAGGGGCCACCGCTGTGGCTGGGTGAGCACCTGTGCTGGTGGACGTGGAGGTGAGCAGAGCCCTGAACCGACGGGGCGGAGCAGCGCCCCGCACAGCACCCCACGCAGCACCCTGGGCACACTGGGCGGCCGGCATCTCCCCAGGCCCCAACCAGAGGAGGGGCTTCTCTCCGCCACCCCGGGGAGCCCCTCCTCACCGCCCGGCTGAAGCCCTGTCCTCCCCTCCCCCAGCTCTGGCGGCCCAGCCCAGGGGGCCAGGCAGCTGCCAGGGGGGCCGGGCGGGGTGGACTCACCTGCCCCATCCACAATCTCGAAATCCAGGTCCATATCGCCTGCTGCTGCCCCCAGGCCGGCCCCCTGGTCCGCGTCCAGCGCTTCTGAGGAGCCGCCGCTGAGCAGAAGGACGAGCCGCTCAGCCCAGACCCAGCACTGGGGCGGCCGGTCACCCGGGAGCGCCAGCGGCCTACCTGAAACCCCAGGACTGCTCCCAGAGCTCATCCGCTGCCCGCCGGCACAGCGACCCCTGGCTGGGGGGCAGGGGGCTGCTGGAGCGGAAGCTGTCCCCCGGCTCCTGGCTGGACGTGGAGCTGAGGTCGGACCAGAGCTGGGCCTGGAGGAGGACGGGGGTCAGCGTGGCTGCCTGGGGGGCCCGAGGACGCCCCCGACCCCACCATGGAAGGGGAGGGCAGGACGGGGCACCACTGTGGCTCGGTGAGGGGCTCGGGCGTGTGGGCGTCACCCCGCTGCGCACAGCCCCTGCGGTGGCTCCTGACTTCCCGCAGCTGCCCCCCACAGACAGAGCAACTGAGGCCCGGGGCACAGACTGGCGAGGCGGGCACCCAAGGTGCGTCGGTGGCTGGAGGGTGGCCGCAGCCACGGGGGCTCCCCAACCAGCACTCCTCTCTCGGGATAGTGGGGGCCGCCGGGCTCCGGGGCGCACGTACCTCCAAGGCGCCTGGGCAGCTGCTGTCCCCGGGCGGGCAGATGGCGAACATGCGGGCCAGCCGCTGCTTCCCCCTCGGGCAGGGCTCCCTGGGCCCCGCCTCCTGCTCGGGCTGCAGCGGAGACGGCGGC